GCGGGCGCAGCCCAGCCGCCGCCAGCCAGCCCAAAGCTGCGGCCCCGGCGGAGCACCGGCGGGGCGCGGGGTGTCTGCCAGCCAGGGCTATTGAGACGGCCAAGTGCAGCCCCCAGCCAGGTTAAGTAAGAAAACAAAGGACTCGGTGTCTTCTGCTCAGCTTCTGAGAGCTCCCTGCGCCTGCAGAACGCAGCTCGAGAAGCCCTTCACTTACTTTCCTGTAAGACCCTTTCTGCATTCAAGCCGCAGATGGATAATGCTCACTCAAAACAAGCGCGAGGTTTAGCCTCGGTCCTCCATGTGCCTCAGCCCCGAGCCGCAGCATTTCCCATGAGCTGAGATGTGAGGAAGGAAGGCAAAAGTCCAGCCAGTTAGACCTTCCAAAGGAAATAAAAATAATTAAAAAGTTACAAGGTCATCCAGATTGTTGAAGTCATATTAATAAAACCAACATTTATATAACACATTCTGAAGGGGAAAAAAAGTCTTCCCTGCCTAGAAAAATCACAAAGTTCAGGAAGGGTGAAGTTTGCGCTTTTTTGTTTATTTGTTTTGAAAAAAAAAAAGTAAAAATGTATGAGTTATAGAACACAAATCTAACATATGTTGCAACATGTATATTGCTTATGTTGTATACATACGGCTCCAGGTCATCTTTCTGGACCTTTTCTCACCACCATTGATAATAACAAAGACATTTAGCTAGAACAGTAACCATCTCAGATTGTTCTGAAATTCTGTCTAAAATCACAACCAGGACTATTACCACAACCAATTTTGACTAGCTGTTTTGCAGCTATCAAAGGTTTGGGTTTTTTTACTTTTTATTTGTTGTTGACTATACATACATCATATATTGGATGCTTGTGAATATGGAACTCTAATAAAATAGCCCCTATTTTATTAATTGTACATCTGTAGTGTTTTAGAAAAACAGCACATAAATTTTTTAACTGGACTTGTAACAATTTTTCTAACTGTAAAATTGGCAACTGGAACAGCTCCTGTAGCCTTATGCTAGCAAATCCAGATCGCCATAGTTATGAGGGTCTACACAGGCATGCAAGGAACAAAGTCAGATCCAAACCCTGTCAGGTGGTCTCCAAGGGTGGCATTTATGTCTTTCAAAAATCTCAGGCCTTGTGCAAACTCACACAAGAACTCCAAGGCACCCGATCTCCCACTTTATATGAAGGGAACTTCTGCAAATCATATGGTTTTTCATCAACAAGATGCTGAACTTTTACTTTTGACCTGTCAAGTACAATTGGATGTAATCAATTAATAATGCCTAAAACTATTTAAAAATGCTAGGTAAAATTACCTTAAATTTTAAGTTAGACACATAGAGGAAGAAAGTACGATTTATCAGAGCATGCTGTACTGAAGCCAGTGTTGATTTACTTAAGTCCAGTCACCAGCTTCATCGGGATTTCAGAACTCACAGGGGTAAGGTGTTGGAGGTTTTTTTTTTCAGAAACTGATAAGGAGAAAAGTTGTTTTCCTGCTTTCAAAAGACTTCTCAAAGCCAGTCCAGCACTTCCATTACCTCCTGTTGCGACTACTAACCCCTATACCCACTGGACTGAATTCAAACCCTTCAAAGGAGGTACATACTTCTGTGTAAGGCTTCGTTTTTGAAGGTGCTCACAGCTTTATGCGTTATCATAAACTTTCATGTCCCTGTTTTTAAGATAAACTGCAATTAACTTTGAATGGCAATACAGATACATGGGATAGGATTACCAGGAACTTTTTTTTCATACAGTTATTCTAATGTCCCATTCTAGCTCTTCACGACCCTGAACGACGTGTGCCAGGTACTGCTGGAGTAACCCGAAGCCCTTCCAGTGCGGTTTCGGACATGTCATTTACCAACTCCTTGGCCGTTTTCCGGGCTCTTCGCTGAGCCACCCACCCGCGTCCCGCGGCTGGGAAGGCGGGCACAAGCCCCGGACACGTCTGGCTGGAAAGCCCTCGTGTACCTGCAGACGCAAGGCGGAGGCCTCCGGCCGCTCCAGCAGCACGGGCGCCTTCCCGCGCAGCGCCCAGCTCCCCTCGGGGCCGGCGGCGGGGCCGAGGCAGCTGCAGCCACC